ACTGTTTAACTCCCATGCAATCATTCAGTGGGTTGGATGTAATATATGATAATAACACTTTATTTATATTCGGCCCTTCTCCTTGAAGGGACTCAGAGAAGATTACAGTATATATAAAGCAGACACAGACAAACATTCAATGCCTACTTACATTCACATACAATGAAACACACAAACACAGACAAAGGCAAAGGCTTCTCCTTTCATTTCCAGCTTTGGAGGCAATGCTCATTTCTGACTCTGGGGGAGGTGCTCTTCTCCATTTCCAAGCCAAGGAGCCTATGATGTCATCTCCAGACCATGTAGCGGCATGATTGCTTGGAGAGTCTTTCACCTTTCCCCACTATTTATCTACTCACATTTGCATGTTTTCAAACTGCTAGGTTGACAGGAGCTAGAGCTAACAGCAAGAGCTCACTCCATCCCATGGATTCAAACTGCCAACCTTCAGGTTAGCAGTTTGGCAGCACAAGGGTTTAACCCATTGCACCGCTGCAGCCCCTGCACCACATGAAAAGAGAGAGAGAGAGAGCTTTCAAATATCTAAATATTTTCTGGACATTCTACCTTCTTATTACTCTTCCTTTTGAGGAGCTGACGTGTGGAGATCAGATTCCGTTTTTCAGCACTCTTTTCAATATGTGGATGATGGGTGTATGATTATAGCAACAGGGGTGCTGTTAGAGCCAAACTGGTGGGCATAAGTCTATGTCCACATGGCCCCAAATGACAGTAGTGCAGAGCTACTTTATTTTTTCCAGTCTCCATTTAATATTTTTTCCACAGAAGTTGTTCTTGGTATGTATCCACACCGCATAATTATAGCAGTTTGATCCTTCTTGAAGAGACATGGCCCCATCCTAGGAAATCCTGAAATCTGCAGTTTGATGAGATAACTTAGACATTTTTGCTAGAGAGCTTAGATCTAGGCTTCAAACATACAGCAGAGAATTCTGAGTACAATAACTTTAACTCATATTACAGTATATGGTGCAATTCACATCCTCTGAAATGCTTTGCAATTCACATTCTTCTCTATCTGTGTTCTGAATCCAGAATAGGTCTTCATAGCCATTTACAGATCCACTGCCAGGACTCTACCCTTGGAAGGAAATCATACTTGACCAAGAGTGATCACCTAAGATGATTATTATTGTTTTATTTCATTATTACTTCTTGATGGGAAAGGCGTATGGCAGGGTTGTATACTCTCACTCAACCTATTCAACTTGTATGCAGAACACATCATGCGATGTGCGGGGCTTGACGAATGCAAGGCTGGGGTGAAAATTGCTGGAAGAAACATTAATAACCTTAGATATGCAGATGATACCACCCTGATGGCCAAATGTGAGGAGGAGCTGAGGAGCCTTCTAATCAAGGTGAAAGAAGAAAGCGCAAAAGCTGGGTTGCAGCTAAACATAAAAACCCAAGATTATGGCAACAAGAATGATTGATAACTGGGAAATAGAGGGAGAAAACGTGGAGGTAGTGACAGACTTTGCATTTCTAGGTGCAAAGATTACTGCAGACGCAGACTGCAGCCAGGAAATCAGGAGACACTTACTTCTTGGGAGGAGAGCAATGACCAATCTCGATAAAATAGTGAAGAGGAGAGACATCACACTGGCAACGAAGATCCACATAGTTAAAGCAATGGTATTCCCCATAGTCACCTACGGATGTGAGAGCTGGACCTTAGGGAAGGCTGAGTGAAGAAAGATAGATGTTTTTGAACTGTGTTGTTGGAAGAAAGTTCTGAGAGTGCCTTGGACAGCAAGAAGATCCAACCAGTTCATACTTCAGGAAATAAAGCCCGACTGCTCATTGGAGGGAAGGATAGTAGAGGCAAAGATGAATTACGTTGGCCACATCATGAGAAGAAAGGAAGGCTTAGAGAAGACAATGATGCTGGGGAAAATGGAAGGAAAAAGGAAGAGGGGCTGACCAAGGGCAAGATGGATGGATGGCATCCTTGAAGTGACTGGATTGACCTTAAAGGAGCTGGGGGTGGTGATGGCCGGCAGGGAGCTCTGATGTGGGCTGGTCCGTGAGGTCACGAAGAGTTGGAAACAACTGAACGAATGAACAACAACAAGAAGAAGAGTTCTGCTTCTTCCCCCATAAAATTATTTCAGTTCCTGAATTTCTTGAGTTGTCATAACTTAAAACTTGTACATTTAGGAAGGCAGTTGTGGCATCCATAGAAAAAGAGTGGACAAAGTTACCAATGGAGTGTGAACACAGCAAATGTCAGAGTTCTAGGTGTGAATGATTTTTAATGTCTCACACAATACAAGAATTAATTGTGGGGAGCGAAGGAACATTTCATTTTGCTGGGGCAAAGCCCTAATGGAGCTTCTCTTTGTCTCTATACCCCATGGCTTCTTGACCTGGATTTCTTAACAGCACTGCTCACCAGCAGGGAATATGATGTGAGGAATGGTGAATGAGTAGAGTGTGAACATGCACATAGGGCTTGTCATATTTAGCTGTCAGTAAAAATCAGCCAGCCTGAAACCTATGGGCGATAAAATAAAAAACCTAAAGAAGCCAAGGGAAACAGTATCTTTTAATTCAAACAAGCAAAACTTTTTGTGTGCAGAGGGAAGTTTGTTCCAGGTCCAGATAAACCACACTTGGGAACATGATGTTATGAACTATATGAATGGAGGACAAAGGAAAAATAGAATGAAAAGGGGGGAAGTTTGGACTCTAGCCTTTGTTTTACTTTAGCTCTCAGAATCCCCTACCCTGCAATGGCTGGAAATTATGGAAACTGTGGTCCAAAAAGGAAATCTTCTGAAGTTTGATTTTTTTTCATGTCAGGAGCAACTTGAGAAACTGCAAGTCACTTCTGGTGTGAGAGAATTGGCTGTCTGCAAGGATGTTGCTCAGGAGATGTCCGGATGTTTGATGTTTTACCATCCTTGTGGGAGTCTTCTCTCATGTCCCCACATAGAGAGCTGGAGCTGACATAGGGAGCTCAACCTTCTCTCCCCGGATTCAAACCGCTGACTATTGGTCAACAGTCCTGCTGGCACAAAGGTTTAACTCATTGCACCACCAGGGGCTCCTCTGAAGTTTGATTTCTTAATAGCTTTATAGTTACATGTCACATATTTGATTGAAATTGGATTAACATTTTGGAGTAAATTCCACTCATACAAAAAATAGACTATATGTGTGAAAATATTAGCTTGTTTTGCTGTCATTATGTACTGCTCTATCTTCTTGATATATGAACTAGGCTGAAGATGTGACTGATGTGGGATTTGAATCCTTCTTCTAGATTAGTGTGTGATCTACACTACAAATAATCCAGAGCTGTCTTTTGTATGGCTTCCCATCAGGCCCGTAGCCAGGATTTCGATTCGGGGGGGGGGGGGGCTGAGTTTGTTTCGGGGGGGGGGCTGAGTCTGAGTGAAAGAGGGTCTACCCTAGCAAACCTTTTGTATCGTTACCCCAATAGCCCCATGCATATGGGATATATTGAGTATGGTGATCAGATCATGATATGAATAAACATAACAGTTTAACTAATGCACCAGTAAGGCCTTTTCGCGAACCACCATGAGAATTTCAGCTACATGTCTGCTTCCCATCTACATCTCACTTCTGCTACCAAGTGTGGGGACCTTGGCTTGTATCTGACTGCTGCCGACACCAAACATGGGATTTACACTCTTTATGTGAGGATTCCACCTTTTATCCCATTTGCAGGCTTTTTCACTCAGATGATGCTCATTGAATGTGAGGAAAATCCCCCCCAAATGTGAAGGCTTCTATGGTGTTCACTTCAAATACACATTGTGAGGGCTTTCCTGATCTCTGCCTCTAACGCACATACAGACTTCTTCATGTCTTTCTTTTGTAATGCCAGTGGCAGAGTCAGTCTAAATGCCCTCAAGGTTCCAGTGAAGATTTATATCACACCCCTCCCCCCACCACACAAAAAGGACACTACGTTTCCAGCTTCAAAGTTGCCATCATAAAGATCTTGTACGAAATCCAATTCTCAGAATTATAGATTCCAAAACCCAAAGTGCAGGGAGTTCCCAATTTACAAACAAGATAGGTTGTGTAAGTTTATTGCTAAGTTGAATTTGTTTGTAAGTCAAAACATTTACATTTTTTCAGTGTAACTTCAGATATCTATCTATCTATCTATCTATCTATCTATCTATCTATCTATCTATCTATCTATCTTTGGAAAGCACGGGGAAGAATTAACAGCCCTGTCATGTTTGTTTTGCTCAGTTCAGAAGGTTTCACCTCACATTTTGTCCTTGTGATAATTGGATTCTGAAAACATTGGCTTGTTGTGGAAACAAGGATTGGTGATAAAGCTTCAGTGGAGACACCTTTTCCCCATGACAACTTTATCAGTACTAAATTTTCCTTCTGAGGGGTAAATTTCTCTTACTTCTTGTTGTCTCATCTCCGTTCTTAACTCTGAGTTGTTTGTAAGTTGGATGTTTGTAACTCAGAGACTGCCTATATAGAAAAACAAAAGGTGGAAAGAGGGAAGTGGTGGGGGGAGCCATCCCTTCTTAAGACTTCTCAGGCTCATTCATGCAGATATGCCTTCAAGTCCTACGGTGACCTTGTGTATTTTGTAGGGCTTTCTTAGGTAAGAAATAATCAGAGGTGGTTTCTCCAGTTCCTTTCTTGAAATATAGCCTATAGCACCTGGTATTCATTGGTGGTCTCTCATCCAAGTACTAACCAGAACTGATCTGCTTAGCTTCCAAGATCAGACAGGAATGAGTGTCAGAAATGAAGCAACTGTTTTATATATGAACAATGACATCACATGTCCCCCCTTCTTCCCAAGCAGAACATACTTCCCTTGTTTATCCTTGTAATGTAACTTAATTGCCTCATAGGCATTGCAAAAATCAATTAATTACAAGTACCACTGTTTATTCCTAACTATTTCCAGTCTCCATTATTGATATGAAATTCTGATGCTTCTAAAATGTCCACATTCTCCACAGGTCCATGACCGCCTGGATCGATATTGCTGTGGCTTTCAGCCAGACTCTTCTGAGCCCTGCGTTCAGGAAATGCTCCATGAGAAATGCCGAAACCCTGCAGAGTTGGTCTTGGTTCATATCTTGGTATGCCACTTCCCAATGGTTTGACTATTTTTCTGTTCTGGCCTCAGTAATTGATGGCCTGGAGTGTTCATGCCTGCCTGCATTTCACTGTACTTTTCTGCTAATGAACAGGATAAAATGTCTGGGATGAAAAAGAGTATTGCAAATGGAAAGAAGTCTGAGGTCTAACTGACAGAGGAAGGGACTTTGATTAACTAGCAAAGTAAAGCATAATTAATTGAATACAGACCTGAGATGGGAAACTTATTTACTGTATTTATTTATTGTATTTATTTATTGATCTTCCGAGGAGGCCCTGCTCTCGATCCAGCCTCTGTCGCAAACACGCTTGGCGGGGACGAGAGACAGGGCCTTCTCAGCAGTGGCCGCTCGCCTGTGGAACTCGCTCCCCAGCAAAATTGGGTCAACTGCTTCCCTCCTGTCCTTCAGGAAAAAGTTGAAAATGTGGCTATGGGACCAGGCATTTGGATAGTAGGTTGATAAATGATGACAGTGCTATGGTAAATGGACTATGGACAGGCTTCGAACCAAGTTGTTAATTGTAGAACTCAGATTTAGATTTGGCCAATTAATTGAATTTGCACTATTTTAAATGGTTTTAATTTATATTAATGTTTTATCTATTTTGTAATTGCTGTTTTATTCGTGTGTATATGGGAGGCATCGAATTGTGGCCAGCTGTAAGCCGCCCTGAGTCCCCCTTCGGGGGTAGAGAAGGGCGGGGTACAAATATTTGAAATAAATAAATAAATAAATAAATAAATAAATAAATAAAAATCATATTTATACCTTTCTCAACCCTATAAGGAACTCAAGGCAGCTTACATATATGGGCAACGATTTGATGCCATGTAGACCCCGGTGGTGCAGTGGGTTAAAGTGCTGAGCTGCTGAGCTTGTTGTCCGAAAGGTCGCAGGTTCGATTCCGGGGAGCGGCATCAGCCCTAGCTTCTGCCAACCTAGCAGTTTGAAAACATGCAAATGTGAGTAGATTAATAGGTACTGCTCTGGTGGGAAAGTTAGCGGTGCTCCATGCAGTCATGCCGGCCACATGACCTTGAAGATGTCTATGGACAACGCCGGTTCTTCGGCTTAGAAATTGAGATGAGCACCACATCCCAGAGTCAGACATGACTGGACGTAATGTCAGGGGAAAACCTTTACCTTTACCTAGACATACATACATAGTAAAATAAGCATACACATTAAAACAGTCATTAAAAACATATCAATATTCCCTTTTAAAAAATAAAATTTCCAGAATATCACAGACCCTTGACTATATTTGTATTGTAATCCCCTGCAAAAGAATTGTTCTGATCCTGCCTCATTGTTTTTTGTAGACACTGGCGCCCCTTTCTACACTGCCATATAATCCAGATTATCAAACCAGGTAACCCAGATGATTTACTTTGAACTGGATTATATGAGTCTACATTGCCATATAATCTGGTTCAAAGCAAATAATCTGGATTTTATACGGCAGTGTAGAAGGGGCCTGGCCCTCTTAGTAACCCACACAAGTGTAATTCCAACTTACACTTGGATATGCTTGTTGGGGGTCATTGCAAAGGTCAGTATTCCCTTTCTGCCTTCATGGTAATAAAGGTATTCCCTAAGAACTCACAATTTTACTGCAATACCGCCCCTCCTAAATGCCAGCCTCCTTTCTTTTCTGCATCTTGAGACATTGCTGAAAAACGTTCAGCCCTAAATGAATTAAACAGGAAAGCAAAAATACACAAATGTCCTGAAACATTACGTTATGTGGAGTAATCATATACACAGCCATGTCCTCATTTTACTGCCAAGTTTTACTCTTCTTTTCCAGATCCGGAAGAGCAAACCTTCTCATTTGGTATTTATTGACAATGCAGGCAGGCCTCTCCATCCAGAAGCTAAACTTAATTTCAGGCTTCTCCAAGGCATAGATGGGTAAGATGCATGGTAGGCAAATATTATGGGAAGCCGCTCGTAAATGCCATGGTGTATATGTCTTTAATAATATTACTCCTCTGCCCTGTAAAACAGTAATATTGTGTTGGAATCAGACTAATTCATATATAAAGAACATCTATCAGACTGGGGAAAATATTGCACAAGGAAAAGTTCCTAAACCAGCATAAGCTCTAGTTAAGCTAATGTAACTATGAAAATTATGCATAAAGTCAGAACTTGTTTTCTTACCAGACTGATTATACTCCATGTCTGAAGCAAAATATCTTATCCTTAAATACCTATCCTTTTGCATAAAATATTGCAAACTTAGAAATCTAAATGTCTAAAGGAGCTGATATATGATTGCTTCATGTGTTGTAATTACCTCGGCTTATGAGATTCTGTGCCTGAGTGATGATTTCTCCTTTTTTTCTTTCTCTTTTCCTTCTTTAATGCTCATCATCAGGTTTCCCAAGACAGCTGTGACTGTGCTCAAGTCGGGATGTTTACAAAATCTACTTTTACAATCACTGTATGTTGATAAGGAATTCTGGGAAAACCAGGGTGGATCCGAAGGTCTTAAGCATTGGCTTCACACCATTGACAGGAGAGGACAGATCTTGCTTCAGTATATTCAAGACCATAACTTGACTATCATTGATGACTCCTTGCTTTAAACTTAGGCCACAAAGTTAATGGGGTCACTTGCCTGAAAAGGTGCATTGAGCCATGCAGGTAAAAAAAACCTTAGCATTAAGACACCAGCAAATCTACCAGTATTTGACTTCTGCCATATGTGAATTCAGAGACCAAAATAAACATGAAAATGAATTGTTTGGCTGTGCTTATTGGTGTGTTGTATATTTATTCGAAATTATAAGGCTGTCATTCACATAATATTAACAGGAAAATATATTTCCTAGTGTTTTGTTGATGTACAATAGGCCCTCCACTTTTGCAGAGGTAAGAGATGTAGGTCCTCTGTGACACTGAGAAAACCAACAATTAACACTCCCTCTGTTTAATTTTTTACTCCACTGAACAACTCTCTAGGAATTATATGTATCTTCCAAAATTGTGTTGGAAAATATAGATATTCTCGGAGAGGTGTTTTTTCTAAGATTCTCTAGAGATCCTACAGTATGACTCTATGGTCAAGGGGCTGACTACTGTGTACCTAGAAATTCCTGGAGTATCTAGATATTCCTAGAGGAAACATATTAATCAAATCTGTAAATAATCAACTTCACAAATGGTTCAACATGCAAATATGGAGGGCTGATTGCAATTCTCTTCATTTCCACTAAATAATGAAAAGAGAAGCTATCAATCTGATGCTATTCTCGTCCATCAGGCTATACCCTCTCAATGCCCTCTCATTGCTTAGAACAGGAGGGATTACTCCTATTGTACGCATTGAAAAACACTAGCAGGGAGGGAGAACATCCTGACTTTCACCTCCAGTGTTTCATCTTGGCTGCCTTTATTTCTCCATCATTGCCAGTGCAAACTGCTCATAGTACACTCTCCTTTCTCTATCCAGATCCACTTCCTTCATCCTCTCATCTTCTCTGTATATTACCTTCTTCCCCAGTTTGGTGATAATGTGCTGCAGCTCTGCCATGCTGATGTAACCATAACTGTTTTTGTTGAAAACCCAAAGGGTCTCTCGTATTTCCTTCTTGATGTAACTGTCCTTCTACAACAGTGATGATGACGCCATATCCAACTTTGTTGAACAGTTTAAAGGCCTCTTTATATTCTGCCAGCTGTTCTTTGGTAAGACAATGAGCCATGTTGCTGTCTCTAATCCCTCACAACATCTTCTCTCTTCTTTTTGAGAAGAATGCACATGCTGGTTGTCCTCTTGAAACAGAAAGTATATTGTGGGAAGAGAAAGCAATGAGGAGGCCAACAAGTGCAGTCCATATCTATTTATGGCACAAGCATTGGATCTTCAGCTTTCTAGAGAAAACTGTAGCGAGAAAAGGCTAATCCCTTGTAGCTCATACTTTTGTAGAATTGCTAAAGGTAAAGGGTGCTCTATTTCCAGATGTCCACATCTCTGCAACCTCATAAATTGGTGGCAGGTGAAACCGGAATGGTTGTAACTTTGGGTGTGTCTGCAGTACAGGTTGCCACTACTTTAACTGCCATGATTCAATGCTACAGAATCCTGGAAGTTGTATTTTTCAAGTCTTTAGCCTTCTCTGGCAAAGAATTCTGGAATCTGTGTACACAGAACTATCAGAAAACAAAGCTGTCACTACCTCAGCCACCTATGTGGACAGTTTTGGATTTTGGAGGATATTTAAATCACTGATAAGGGATGTCCAATCTGTATTTCTTACTTCTGTGTACAATTGTGAAAAATGAACATTGAAGAACGTTGATAGGAAGAAAATTACCTCATTTGAAATGTGGCACTGGAGATACCATGGATGGCTATAAAAGAATGATAAATGACTCCATAAGCAAATCAAGCCTGAACTCTCCCAAGAAGTCAAAATGAGTCAACTGAGGCTGTCACGCTATGACCATATCATGAGAAGAGCTGGCTCATTAGAAAAGACAGTGTTGCTTAGGAAGGCAGAAGGCACCATAAATAGAGGAAGGCCACATTCCAGGTAGATGTGTTTAATGAAGGAAGTCATGACTTTGAGTCTGCAAGATCTGAGCAGTTTGTTGAGAACAGGATGGCTTGGAAATCTCGCATTTATACAGTCTCCATAAATCCAAGTTGACTTGACTGCAGTTAACACTGGAAAAAAGGCTTGTCTGTGGAGGTCAATGATTGTAAGAAAATTATTGGGAACTATATGAGGCCACTGTCCCACACTTTGTTCACCCTTGATTTACACCATAGGTTCCCTTAGAAACACAGAATTGCTCAAGGCGTCCTACCCATCCAATTTCCCAATTGAAAAACATCACAACAGAAAGTGTGTTATTAATTTATTACTAACATATGCACGTATACATACCCCATGGCTTGAGGCATCATAATGTGAATGTTATGATATGAGAGGAGGTTGAAGCTGTTTTGGTGGGGTGTGTCTCCCCATTGGGAAAAAACCATACCAGAGAAGGTTCCCTGAGTTCAATATGGGCTCTTCACAAGAAGGAATCTCCAAATATCACACAAGGGTGGAGTAGAAGCAGAAAGCTGATCTTTGTTTTCATCCGCTCTTGTGTTTCAGTAGAACCAGATTCATAGTTACACTGCAAAAACAGACCAGGGCAGAAGAGAGAGAGGTTAAAATATGGCTTATACCAGGCATGGGCAAACTTCAGCCCTCTGGGTGTTTTGGACTTCAACTCCCACAATTCCTAACAGCCTACTGGTTGTTAGGAATTGTGAGAGTTGAAGTCCAAAACACCTGGAGGGCTGAAGTTTGCCCATACCTGGCTTATACCCTCTGCATTGAGTAAAAATATCCCTGTAAGGGACTTCACCTGTCTGTAGGACAGTTGTAGAAAGCCAAAGCAAATATCATGACTCAAGTTCTGTAAACAGTAAAGCTTTCTGAGAACATGAATAATCCCAAAGATTCTCCATTCCAGCCCCACAGCAATGCAACTGCACTCTGCATAAGACAGTAATATTGTTCACTCATTTGGGTTTTTTGTTTGTTTAACAGCCTTCCTTTTTGCTTGTATGAGAAATAAAGATGTTGACTGACAACAGGGTTTTTAAATGCTCTTAAAAACAATAACTCTTTTAAAAAATCATTAAATAATCTTTGAAACAGTTTAAATATCTCGAGAGAAGTGCAAATTAAAGAAGAATAAAAAAGAACTAGAGGTTTGGTTTGCTGATCCTTAAAGGCAAAACACAACTTGAAATCCACAGGAGGACATTGTCTTTGACAGGCAAATTGCATTTCCATACTGAATGAACTTGTTTCTGAGTTTTCCAGAATCCCAGGAAGAGAGGCACCAAGACTTACAAAATATGCCTTGATGTTTTAAATCAGAGATTCATGAGTAGTCCTTTGTTGGTTGTGGACTGCAAATCTAAAGCAGTCCTAGGTTGTATGGTGAGAGATGCTGGGAAATGCAGCCCAACAAGTTCAGGAGAATCATGTAATTCCCACTCCTGTTTTGGACTATGTTGTATGCAATCATAGTCCCAAGATAGAGTGTTTAGGTTTGTTGCATCACTAATAGATGTGCGAGTATCCCATAACACCTGGCAATGTCAGCTAGAATGATGACAAACTGGTGTGTCCCTATTAAATGGACTTGCCATCTACGTGTTCCAAGAGCTCTGCTCCTCTCTCAAATCATGCCCCAAAACATGTACCTTCTAACCTCCCAACAACCCCAATTAATCCTCTGCCATCCCAGCTTCTCAGTTGTTTTAAAATGTTTAGCTTTTTCTCTCTTTCTCCCACTTCCCCCCTCAATTCAGTTGCAGCAAACTGAGTTCAAAGCACAAAAGTAGTTTGCACTCAGCATAATCCAGAAAAGGTGGGGGGAGGGGGCAGAATTTTTATGACCCTCAGTTTTGCAAATCTGTGTAACCTTTGCCTTATTGATGCCTGCAAATTGCCTTTAGACCACAGCCTTATGCCAAACCCTACGATCTGCTAATCAATATTGATGGAACCATTTCTGTTATGGGGAGGAAAGACACTATCAAATCAAATACATCCTCCATGCCAGTTGTATCCCCAATAGTCTCAGTCCTTGCCTCCATAAAGGTGATGCTATTTACTTATTTTTTAAACAAAATATTTCTTGCAAAGGCATTTTAACATCTGAAGTGGGACCAAATGGACGAACAATACCAAATTCCCTAACGTTTGCCTTCTCGTTCAGTGCCAGAATCCCCCATGCCCTGGGGTCATCTTGCTGAGATTCCAAGAAAAAGGAGTTCATCTAGGATTTAAAAGGCAATTAATGGTAGATCTTGTCACCTGCTTCATATTAGCTTTGTTTCTCTGGATTTGTCTTTGCTCTCTGCTTGTTCTCAAGCTCAGAACTGGAAGGTCCTTCAGGCAAAGACCTGTCCTGAAACTAGATGCCTTCTTGATGCAATTGAAAATAAGGAAATAAAATATGAATCAGTACCTAATGAGGACAATCTCAGAGAGCCCCTATTTCTTCTCCAGCATCTTCACAAACTCTTCATAGCTCACTTTTCCGTCTCCATCTGTGTCAATCTCTTTGATCATAGCATCCAACTTCTCATCCATAATTTCTTCTGCAAATTTGAGTTTCATGTCTTCAAAGGAGCCTAAGACTGTCTTCAGTTCCTTAGTGCTGATGGTCCCATCACCATCTACATCAAAGTGTGAGAAAAGCTCTTTGAAAACATCAAGTTCTGCCTTGGTGAAGGAGTGTGCCATCTTGCCCTTTCTGGTACCCACAGTAGGTTTGCTTTCTTCTTAAAGGCAGCTCACCAAAACAGGAAAATCTGACATTCGGCACAACCTGAGTCCACACCCACTTCACAGCCCAAGGCTTGGATTTGCATTTTATCTGTTAGTAGGAGCAGGTTGGCCTCAAATGTAGGCCAAGCCCTTTTTGGCATGTTTAAATAAACCACAGGAATGGATGGCAGGTGGAGAGGGCACATGCTGTAATATTTGATAGATGACACATCTGGCTTTATGATTTCAGGATGCCATTCTGTAGTGTGTGTAATCTCGATGTAGGTGTTTCTACAGTAAATGTGCTCACCTATGTCCATATCCTTCATTTGCCCCAGCTTGGCAGGGACAATCACAATAAATGCTCTGTTGTCCCAATTTTTTCAGTTACTTTAAAAATGTTCCAGTTTCTCACTTCCTCTCTCCCATGTCACCTTTGTCTTCAGTTTTTTTTATGTCAGGAGTGACTTGAGAAACTGCAAGTTTCTTCTGGTGTGAGAGAATTGGCCGTCTAAAAGGACATTGTACAGGGGATGCCCAGATGTTTTACCATCCTGTGGGAGGGTTCTCTCATATTTCCACATGGGAAACTGGAGCTGACAAATGGGAGCTCACCCCACTGCCTGGATTCAAACCACCAACCTTTTGGTCAGCAGTCCTGCCAGCACAAGGGTTTACCCCATTGCACCACTGGGTTACTGTATATATCCATGTATAGGTCTAGAAATTTAAGTTAAAAACTAACTAAAAAAACCTGAGTTTACTTTTGTATATGGGTCAGTCTAGGGGAGCCATTCCCTCCTCTGAGTAGAGTGGGGAGAGGTTAATCTGTCCCTAAAAGATGCACCAACCCCCCACTCTTTCGATTGTGGTGTCGTTTCTGGCCCCTTTGAATGCCTGAGCGGGGAAATGATGGTGGGAGCCACTGACTTTGAGGCAGATCTGGTACTTTTCCCTCTCCTTGTAATTGTAACTTCACTTTCCATTCTACCTTCTGAATATTAAATTATATTTATTAAAATTTATGTTTGTAATGATATTTTGACCGTCACTTATGAGTCTTGTTCTGTGGTTTGTTTGTTTTTTAAAATTACTCTTCCGAGTCTTCGCAAAGAAATTTCTTGTGAATATGATTATATCACAAAACAGGTTCTTGTTTACCTTGTGAGGTGACTAATTTAACATAATTCAGTGAACACACCATGGGCTCTGGTATGAGATTTAATTGAAACATTTCATTAGTTGCCACCATCACCATTTTTCAAAAATGTAATTGTTTCCCTACAATAAATACAGACAAAGTCACCTTTTATCTCACTATCAAAACAGAGCTTACTTTCTCCTACTTTATATATAGTATTGAAAGGGTCTTTGAGTGAAATTTGCAAATGCTAAGCAAGGGGCTTTAAATGAAATTAACAGCAAAAGGGAAATATACCCTTTCTCTGTAGAAAAGGAGCAACAGGGAAGAAAATGTTTTTAAGAAACAAGATGTGACATGTAGAGGTCATACAAAGTTCAAGCCTACACAGGAGGTAGTTGTGTTGTGGTTAAGTTCAAAGGTTGTGGTTAAGCGCAGAGTCTGCAGGTACAAGAAGGTACTTTCCATCAAAAGTTCAAGGGAGAGGGGCTGGAAAGAGAGTACTTTCCATGACCTATTATTTGAGTATAAAAGTCAGCAGGAAAAGAGGAGGGGCGCGGCAGTCACTTGAAGGGTAGCATCTGCGTATGCTGCCAGGCTGTCCGTCTTCTTCATGAAGAAACTAAAATAAACCTTGTTTTTTTAAATCTTTTTTGGGACTGTCTCCTTCCTTACGTGTTCCTGCAATGTGGACCTAAGAAGACCCAATTTAGGGTCTCTAACAGTATGAGTTTTACAAGTTCTCAGATGTCACTAAATGGTGATATTATAAAAATAAACAAAGATAGCCATGTTGATGCATGCAAAGAAAAATGTAAAGATGAACCAAGAAGTATTACCTTTAGTATGACCAGTCAAAATGTCACATAAGGAACGGCATGCTTTTGCAGCATTTTAGTTGGACTTTGCAAAATCTCTGCCAAATATTGATTTCCACCTCTTGTAACAATTGTCTTAATCATTTATATGGGCAAAAAACCCACTAATGCCATAAATAAATAAATATACGTGTCAATTTATAGCAACACCACGAAATTCATTAGGTTTTCTTAGGCAATATGTCCTCAGAGGTGGTTTGCCTTTGCCTTCTATTGAAAATATCAGAATGAAATCAGATACCAGAAAAGCAGTCATGTGGAAGATGGAGTCAGCTTTCTTGCACCTGTTCCAGGGAAAAAGACTAGAACTAATGGATTCAAATGGCAAGAAAGGACATTTTAACTAGTTTTCATAAAGAACTTCCTGACCTCAGCACAAACTGCCTTGGAAATTGGCCTTTCCTTCATTGGGAATTTTTAAGCAGATGCTAAAACAGTGGTTCCCAATCGTTTTTGTTTGGGTTTTTTTTACAAAGGACCACTTGATCAGGGACCACTTTGACCAGGGACCACTCTCCAACATTAATCCCGAAAGGTTTACGAAACAGTTTGATAATCAGGAGCTGATGTGGTCTAGCCAATGCAATTTTCTGAATCAAACCCCCAAATAATCCCAGAAACAGCCTAAAACAAAGACACCAAGGCGCCCCTGCTTCCAGGCACCACATAAAACAGCTCCACTCAGAGGGAGGGAGGAGGAGAAGCAGCAGTCAGGAGGTTTGTTGTGCCTTTTTTGGGTAGTCAGCCTCTCCCCTACCAACATCCCCATTGCCTCAGCACTATAAGAGGTTTTTGCAAGACCAGTTGCTCTTGTTGCAATGGTGTAGTAATAGTGAGGCCATGGACCACCAGTTGGGAACCACTGTGCTAGAAGGACACTTATCAGAGGTATTTTAACAGTGGATTCCTGCACTAATGGGAGCCTGAACTATGGATTTATTGCACAAAGATAACCTGCAGAGAAACAGAACTGTGACCAAAGGAACCCCTATTGCAGTGCAGGAATCCTTATTGCACTTTCCTGTTACAAACTCATCCCTTGCTACTGATGAGCAAAATCTGCCAATAGCCCTTGATTGCACCACAATATCACAACATACCTAGTGTGATCATCCCCAGCCACTTCTCTGTTAGCAAGCCAGCATAGATATGATGTCAGGGGGATGAGTTCCTTTCCCATAGTTAAACATAAAAAGATGTTAACAGAAAATGAAAAGTTTATTTTAATACTTATGTATCTGTGGAACTGTGGGAGGACAACAGGATATTGGGGTATAGGACAACAGAGTGATGAAGCATTGCTGTGGTGGAACTACTGAAAATGTTCAATACTAGGCTTGGTTGATCAAAAAAGTAAGGTTCAAAACTCGTTTTGGATGTGCTGGTGGTTCAATTCGGAATTGAATTCTGAATTTTTCCAAAAATCTTTTGGAACTTTCTGAAATTCCCGAATTGCTTTGTTAATGGCGGACAAACAGCCCTGAGAGCTTTTGGAGTCTTTTGAGCTGATTTCACAATTTAGGGAAGTATAGGCATGAAAGTATGGGATTTCTAGTGTCTTCTTAGGCAACTCACAGCAAACAAACAAAAAACAGCCCTGAGAGCTTTGGGGGCCTTTTGAACTGATTTCACAATTTAGGGAAGTATAGGCATTAAAGTATGGGATTTCTAGTGTCTTCTTAGGCAACTCACAGCAAACAAACAAAAAACAACCCTGAGAGCTTTGGGGGCCTTTTGAGCTGATTTCACAAGTTAGGGAAGTATAGGCATGAAAGTATGGGATTTCTAATGTCTTCTTAGGCAACTCACAGCGAACAAAGAAAATAACAAACAGCCCTGTCCTTTTTGCCTTGGAAGCTGATTTCACTACTTTAGGAAGCAGATTTTGTGTTCAAAGAGTGGCTTGAATTGATGGGAGATCTAGTTCTTTTGAGGCAATGTGAAACACAAACTAAAAACACTGAGGCCAGAGAGACCAGCTACTATGTTGGCTTTTTAAAATGGAATGAGTGCTTTGGTTCCTCCGTGTTGCTCCTTCCACTTACGCCACTCACACCCACCCATCCCAAACCCCAACAGCAACAACACACAAGCAGCAAGGCAGGCTGGCCATTGCACAGCCAGCCAGCCAGGCACGGCAGGCAACAGCCCTTCTCTCAGCCCTTCTTCCTTTATGCTTACTTGCTTGCCCGCCGTGCTCTTCATCCAACCTCCTTTTCACCCAACCTCCCTTCCCTTTGTCTTTGTTTTTGTCTTTCCCTTTCCCCTTCTCCCTTCCCTTCCCGGCTCCGAATGAGCCTCTGAGCCATGTGCTCCCCTTTATATACAGCAATGGCAGCCATTGCCGAAACCCCTCCCCTCCCCAATACTTCTCCCTTGATTAGCTGTGAGAGGAGGCAAGGAGCCTCCCAGCCTCCCAGCAGGCTAGGTGGCTGAAAATACGCTGAATCATTTCCAACTCACTTCCCGAGTTGTAACAAAAATGGCGGAAAAAGCTTCGGAAGGGCAAAGGGACTTCCGAGTTTTTAAAATGCTTCGAAATCGCTTCAAAAAGGTAACTTTAATGAAATTCTTACAAGTAACGAGTAATCCAACGTGGCTCTATCCATGCCTATTCAATACTTTGGGTGATTGTCCTGGTATATTGCTGGGAGCAATGGATGCTTTGTGATGTTTCTTCCAACTTCATAGTTCTGTGATTTTATAACAAGCAATTTCATCTTCCTTGATAGTAGCTTTGCTAGCAGCACGCGAAGATACCTGGAAGCTTCCCCACTTCCACACACATTAGGAAAATGCTTTTTAAAAGAATAACTGGCAAGCTTCAAAATGATTCAGTTCCTTTGTTTTGACTACACAGATCAAATGAGACACATCTTTCTATAAACATCTTTTTTGCCTTTTTATTGCTAGAGATCCTCTTTTAACAGAGTAGGTTTAGGTATAACTGAGTGTAACTGAAAATGTTGGCAGCTCAAACCTATAAGGTCTTTCCATGCTTCTCTGCTTTTTCCACTCTCTCGCGTCCTGTGCTCTCGCATACACCCAATTGTGGCAAC